CATTTACATTGCTGCCACACATCTGTGGTGTGTGTAGTTATACGCATGGGATAAAGCATTGTCTGCCCAAAGCCTCTCTTACACACAGATAAACTTGTGTCTCTGTTTTACCTTTGGGCTGTACAACAATATGTACCTTTATGTACACTACCAAAAGTTTGGGGTCAATACATATATTTTTATTTTAAGAAATAAATTCTTACGAAAGTCCTAAGAGGCCATGGATTATTTTTATAATCTTCATTCAGCGTTTACACACAGCAGATTATCGGTATATTTGAAGAGGCAGAACAGAACGAGTTTACCGGTATATTTGAAAAGGTCCCATTCACACATGATGTCTTAACGGTAATTTACCAGTAAAGTCTGTATGTGTGAAGGGGGCATACGTTACACAACTGCGCCAACAGGTGGCAGTACAGAACTGAATATAACTGATGGGGTGTTGTATACTGTATATCCACTTTACTGTACACGTTTGGGACAGAATAAGGACCTTCGTCGTGATCGCTATAATTTGTGCAGTATTGTTCATTACTGACATTTAATCAATTCATAAATGTTAAATGCTTGAATCAATATGATTATTTTATATATCGTTAAGTTCTTGCTAGATGCATGTTGTGTTTGAATCCACCTGCGCTTGCAGCGTTGAATGCTCTGATGTTTGCCCATTTAAACATGTTAATTACACAAACAAAATGTTCAGTGTACTGTCTCTGGAAAATAAAAATCAACAGTGATTGATCAGCCTATATTTAATTATTTATTGTAGATGTTATTACTAAGCGAAGCAAAATTGTCTCAAAACAAACAAAACAACGTTCGTAATGTTGAGATCACAAGAAAGAAAAATAATCATAATCCATGGCCTCTTAGGACTTCCATGTAGAATAGACTGAATTGCTAAAATCACAGTAAAGACATTTATAATGTAACAAGATTTCTGTATCAAATAAATCCGGAAACAAATGCATCATGGTTTCTATAAAAATATGAAGCAGCACAACTGTTTTCAACACTGATAATTAGTGCTGTATTCAATACATCAATACGACGATGTATCGTCACAGAGATTTGACGATACAAGTATCGATACAGCTGGCCCAGTATCGATATTGTGGCACGTGCGCAGTAGTGGACTGCGCTTAATTTGAATACAAGAACAACGTTTAAAATTGAGCAGAAAAGTGCGAGGTTTCTAAAAAATGATGGGCTACAACAAGATTTAATCTGGCCGCAGAGGAACACAACGGGGTTGCCTGATATAAAGAGACGTAATCCCGAAACAGAGAGAGAAATTTCTGCTAAATGTGTTACTTATCTTTGTCAACCTGGCAACCATGTGTACACGCGCTCTCTCTCCACTGTGGATAAACGCGCTTGCTTTCTGAAAACAGCAGTTAGCTTGCAGTTTAGCTATCTCCACTTCAATAATCTATTCTCAGAAAAGTGTGATTCATCAAGTGTTAATTTATGAGAGAGAGAGGCTGTGTATGTATGAATTACCACCGTTTTGCCGCGTTTCTCTATTAACAGTAAAGCTATGGCTTTAATTCCTTTAGAAACGATGTTACCAGGTCCTTGTTGTGAAAGATAATGTAGCTCTTGAGCGATTAAGCTATTTAGTTGATAAAACTGCGGGGCAGCGCTAAAAAATTTGTTCCTGAATGCTGAGTGCGGCCGCAACGTGATCTGTGTGAGTCACTGAGCATGTGTGTGCGTTAGATACAGAAAACAGCGCATTAGTTTAGAACTCTTCTAATTTTTATTTTTTAAATGTAGAGAGAGTGTTAATTTGTGCAATGATAACCTACCAGCAATGTAAATATGATTTAAAAAAAAATATATATTAGACTGAGTACATTACAATATAAATTTATTAGAACGAGTACATTATTTATGGGCTTAAAAACAAGATGCAAAAAATCTGAATGTTGTACCTGGTGGGGAGTGCACAATGTAAACATGAAGCATATGCCATTACGTATATTGTTCAAAGCCATACATAAGTTGGGGCCGTTGGGCTCGGGCTGAAATGCAGGGCTCTAAAAGCAGCTTGTTGCATTTAAGCAGCAAAAATACACACAAAATGACACCAAAATGGCCATTCTGGCCACACAGTTAAATAAATGATAATATTCAGTGATGTGAAATGTGGAGTAAGGTCTGGCGCAGTTGCAGCTTGTACTTATTACTAAAACAAGAAAGCAATCGAGTAGCATTAATAGTCATTCATTTTAGTTAACATATGCTATGATAATTTGAACAGATTTTTATTCTTATTGTAAAATAATGGAACATTTAGGTCATGAATATTGTCTCATAAGTCATGGAAATGTATTGGTAAAAATGTGTACGAACCCTGTACATATCGTATCGTGACTTTGTTGGTGATACACAGCCCTACTGATGATAATCAGAAATGTTTCTGGAGCATCAAATCAGCATATTATTATGATTTCTGAAGATCATGTGGCACTGAAGACTGGAGAAATGATGCTGAAAAATTCAGCTTTGACATTGCAAAAATAACATTAAAATCCGTTATTTTAAATTGTAATAAGTTTTTTGACCAAATATTGCAGCCTTAGTGACAGCCTTAGCATTATTATAATTAGCTAAAACTAAAACCATAAATTCTGTTAATTTAAATAGTTAACTGAAATAAAAATTTTCATTTAGATGCCATAGCTGAATTACCCGTTTTCTTTTTGCATAATTTAAACGAACTAAAATTTGAAATAAAAATGAATTAAAATTATACAGATGCATTATAAATCACTACATCAAACTAATTCTAATTAAAAAATACAAAATAAACTACTGTTTTTCCACTGCTATACAGTATGTGAAATGTGAGAGTAAGCGTTCTCTGTGTGGTTTTAGTAATTTGAGTACAAACATTTTAGACCCTTTTTACGTCTGTATTTAGCACTGATGCGAACCTGTTACATGTTTGCGTCAGAGCTTTATATGAAATAAATGGAACCACTTGTATAATTTATTTTTACTTCCTGACATTGGCGTTATAATTTTCAGAAGGTTAACACTTTTTTTTGTTCATTTTTTTCAACTAACACTTTAACTTGTTTACCTATGTTATTTAAAACTTGCCTTATATAACTTCTTAGGCCTTTACATTTTTTCTTTGCTGTTTGTATGCAGTATAGTTTTGATCATCATCAGTATTGATGATCTTTCTGGATTTGTTTCTCAGGGAGTCAGACATCACGAAGGAGCGCATTCAGAAGATCCTGGCGTCGGGGGCAAATGTGATTCTGACCACAGGAGGCATTGATGACATGTGTCTGAAATACTTTGTAGATGTAGGAGCCTTGGCTGTGAGGAGGGTGCTCAAGAGGGACCTCAAGCGCATCGCCAAAGCAACTGGGGGTCAGCCGACTGCACTTGCTTTTATCTACACTTACGCTTAGTAGATCCAGGCCTTCTGTTCTTCAAATACAGAGGTCATTTATTCTCTGTGTCTTAATTTTAATGAACAATGTTTTGATTTTTCCCCTACAGCCACTGTGTGCTCGTCTCTGTCTAACCTGGAGGGAGAGGAGACGTTTGAGGCGGCCATGCTGGGTCAGGCAGAGGAGGTGGTGCAGGACAGAGTGTGTGACGACGAGCTCATCCTCATCAAGAAGTGAGAGCATCTTCCTTTTCCCTCAGCCTGTAGAATAGAATTCATGCCTGATCATTGGATTCTGAAAATTACCATTTAGGATGCAAGCACTTCACGTTCTCTGGAGATAAAGCCATGCAGTAAAATAATTCCACACTGCCTGTATAGAGAAACTGTGGCTCATTAAATCAGTTCTGGTTCCTTTTGATCACTCTACCTCGTACCTGGATAACTGTGGCACTTCCAGAGCTGATAAATCGTGCATTCATCAGAATAGACTTGGTCTTAATTTAAAGAGATGCCATTCAGCACATTATCTATTGTGTTTTCTGGAAAATAAGTTGCACAGGGTCAAAAATGCATTGTTGAGAAAAAATGCATTTTTCAGAATGTTCAGAAATTATGTAAAACGTCGATAAATAAAATGAAATGTTTACAATCATTAGAAATGTATTTTAGTTCCCCTAAAACAAATAGTTCCTCTAATTTAGTTCCACAAAAATCCATCCAATTTAACTGTACAGTATACAGAACAAGAATAATATAAATAAATGATAGTGTCTTTCGTTGTAAACATTTATTGAAAACACCATGCCTAAACAAGTTTAAAGTGAAACTCAATTAATTTGTACAATTAAACGTATGCCTTACCTTGCCTAACAATAGATTGTTAAATGTTAGGAGAGAGAAAACATTTCTGTATGAACGAACAGATCGGTAATGTCTAATTTCCCTACAACTGATAAATTATAAAAACAAAAAAAAATTACTTGCATTCTGAAAAAGAATACGTTATGCAATTAACTGCATGGGACCTTGTAGCAGTGTTTTGCATTGGAAACCACATAGTAGTAATTTTTTATGCTTTTTTCATTTCTCTCTGTCTCTCAGCACAAAGGCACGCACGTCTGCCTCTATCGTCTTGCGTGGGGCGAATGATTTCATGTGTGATGAAATGGAGCGCTCGCTGCATGATGCCCTGTGTGTGGTGAAGAGGGTGCTGGAGTCCAAATCTGTGGTACCAGGAGGTGGCGCTGTAGAGGCTGCGTTGTCCATTTATCTGGAGAACTATGCAACAAGCATGGTGAGGACCCAGTCTTTCACAGCTGCCTGCTGGGATCTTTATTTTCTTGATTTGTGCTTTTATGTTCAGTGCATAGTCGTCATGATCGTGTTGTAACAAACTAACAGGTAATTTATAGCTAATGTATCAATTATTGTCAGTTTCTTTAATATTACTGTATTGTGTGCAATTGGATGTATGCACACTCCCATTATAATTGCTGCCGTGCCTGTTTGATGGCTTGTGCAGTTATACGCGTGGGAGACAGTGAGAGTCCTGAGTGGGGAAAGGGACAGATAAACAGCTCTGCTGACAGCTGCTTCCATCCTGCTCGGAACAAACATGCCTCATTTATCAGAGACGCATTAACCCTCACTAGGCCTGCAGTGTGATCAGTTACGGTCTATTCAGGACGGCGTTCAACAGCAGGGTTCACGATCGTAGATTTGTAGTGATTTATCTCAACTTTCTAGTTCTGAGGTCAATGAATCTATATACATCAGTGTGATTTCTGCTTTATTTTTTAAAAGAAAATCTTAATGGCTGAATTCTCAATGAGGAGTTGTACTCCACAATCCTGAAACGTTCCACCAATCAGGATGGTCTGTGTTGCCATAGAAACAGGAATTGGAGCAGAGTCTGTTTGAATATTCCAGTATTTTGAAAAACTTCAAATATTTTCTTGCCTACACCATAGTGTACTTTATATTGCATTTTACAAAGTTTAGCATTTCTCAGAGCTGGTTAGTTTGGTCCGTAGCTCTAACTGAATAGGTTATAATGATTATTAGAAAATTAATGGGGAATAAAAGGGAAAATGGTGTGGGCACGGTTGCACTCTTTAATATGCAGTAATTGTGCTTTTTAATAATTTGCGTGTATGAATAAACCATTGAAACTTTGTGTGTTTGACGTAGGGTTCCCGTGAGCAGCTGGCTATTGCTGAGTTTGCTCGCTCTCTGCTCGTCATTCCTAAAAGTCTGGCAGTCAACGCCGCACAAGACTCCACTGACCTGGTGGCCAAACTCAGAGCCTTCCACAATGAGGCTCAGGTCAACCCTGAACGCAAGAACCTCAAATGGTTAGTGTTGCTCTCTTCTCATCACACAGGGAAGCTGTTCAGCTCTTAGAAATATGACTGCGCTGTCAGACAGCAGACAAACATACAAATCAGGAGTTTAGAAGTAAGGTTTTGGTTTACTTCCCCTAAAATGTCATTAGAATAGATTTAGTAGATCTGGAACCAGTATGGCCTGTTATGGATTAAGCTGAGAGCCAATGCAGTTTGGATTACTCTGTTTAAACCTGTTTTTGTGTGCGCGCTGTTAGGATCGGGTTGGACCTGGTGAATGGAAAGCCAAGAGACAACAAGCAGGCGGGAGTGTATGAACCCACGATGGTTAAAACCAAGAGTCTGAAGTTCGCCACAGAGGCAGCCATCACCATCCTTCGAATCGATGACCTTATCAAGCTCTTCCCTGACCAGAAAGAGGGCGGGCCCTCCTACCAGGATGCTGTCCAATCAGGATCTCTGGAGGGATAAAGTCCAGCTGCATCAACTCTTTAATTGGCTGGTTCTGGTGTCGCTCCTCTCAGCTTATATATTTATATTTGGATCCAACTGATGAGCTGTTATAGTGTAGAATGTGCACTTTGTTTGCGTTACATATGTTTTGCTATTAACATGGCTTGTTTGTCATGTGTAATGTAACAAATGTTCCTTTTTCTGCCATTTCAAAGACAATAAACCAGAATGGTGTTGAAAGGATTTTTTTCTAATGTTTTGTGGAAGAAAATATTAAAACAACTTGGTATTCATCAAAAAACCAAAAGCTGATTTTATAGTACATTTATGAATTAGTACTTTTGTAGTTTAATATTTTAACTCTGTTGACTTTATTAGGAAAATGCACTCAATATTAAATCAATACAAACACCGTTAGACCAAACAATCACCTCAGATGCGTATTACCCTCCTTCCTTCCAAGCTGTGAATGTCTGAGCTACTCTGCATAGTGATTTATACTGCCAGACTTGGAAAAAGCATAATAGTCCATATCACTTATGCACTTTATTCTTATTGTAGGCTGTTATTCACAAATAATCTTCCCATATCTTTTCAGAGGTTGTATGAATCACCATGCACTTTTCTTGTATGGAAAATGGGCTTATCTCCATGCGTCTGGTGATATTTTTCATATTTGGGCGAACTCTCCAAGAACTTAAACAAATCATACATAATGTCAAGCTGTTTTGTTTTTCAGTAGTTAACTACTTGGCCTCAGCTAGCGATATTGGCTTTTTAACACAAACATGGCCTGAACTTGACATTACAAAGGCTACAGTCTCAACTTTTGGCAATAAAAATAAATATACAGCATCCAAAGTAATCTTGTTAAAAAGGCATTTCCTGTACAGTTGCTCCATTTGTGCTCTTAACTGCTCACCATAAATTTTCCATTGGGTCACAAACGGGACCAGTTTTGAAGTTTGCATCTAAACCGTCCCAGCAGTCTTGAGGACTCTGACCTTTGTAGGCCAGTTTACACTGACTAGCATCGCCATGGATCCAGTGGCATATCTGGGTGTACTTGGCGGGTGTTATTCTGACTGCCACATTATAGTCGTTCTGCATCCCATCAACATCCACCAACTGGTGTCCAGAGAACACACCAATTACCTTCCTTTTCCACTTCCCTTTTCCTCCCTGATCTCGTAGCCTTACGTACACCCCGGCTCCACTTGACCCCTTCTGCGCATCTCAGTACTGGTACATTAGGTCATTCGATTCCTCTAAGACCGAACAGAAGCGGTAGACCGCTTTCCCTAATTGGTCATTGTCAAAACCAGAGAAGTGGATTCTTCCAGCTGGGATGCCCTTGACTAGAGGAACAATGCGTAACTCCATGAACTTCATCTTATGGGGTCGTTTCAGCTCCAGAAGAGCGTAATCATAGTCAGCCGAGACCTCCCTGCCTGCTCTCCTCATCCAGCCCATTGGCACCTGTGTTCGTTTGACACGTGTCCACCTGAACACCGGTTGTCTGGACTGGTCTGAATCCGTGTCGCATCTAATATGGTTCTTTCTTGTCCTCCTGTGTTCTCTTTCTCTATGACGTAGTTCTGCTTCAGTGGCTACTTCTCCTTCATTTCCCACTTCGCTTTCTCTCCTCTTTCCTCCTCTCCTCCTGCCTCCTCGTTGGCGTCCTCCCCTGCGTTTGGAGTGAAGCTTCATGACACCCACTCGGAGCCTCTTGGTCCCTTTCAGATAGACTTGGCCATCATGGACACAGTGGGCAGAAGTCAGTACGTGTTTTGGAGAAACCAAGATGCCTGAGCAACCCGTAGAGAGCTTCAATGAGGCAGAAAAGGGGTAATTGGTGATGAAGTGTTTATCTGTGATCACAAAGCGGCCGTCCATACCGTATACCTGCCGTTTTCTGCGTTTAAAGTGTTCTGCCTTGCAGACAACGGAAGAGGATGCATTTCTTAATCCAGTGACCCCTTCCAGTTTTATTTTGGTGAAGGTCCGTGTTCCGTTCTCGTAGACGGTTTCATAAGACAGTAGTCGTTCCAGCTCAGCTGGCCCCGGTTTTGGCAGCTTTCTTTGGCACTCAATCCCACACAACACTCCTGGCTCACTTAAGTTGTCAGCAGTGAATTCTGGGCTTTGAAGCCTCACTGTCCTTTGGTCCAGGATCACTGGAACTTTGATATGTGTTAAGTGGCAGTCATATTCATTGTTTGTGAAGGAAGCACCACTATAGACCAAAGAAATAACCACAACCAGTGCAGTCAGACTGAACGACAAAGATGGAGGACCTGTCATTTTGCTCACCTCTACCTCACCTCTACCTGAAGGTAAAGAGACAAGAGTTCAGTGGTGAGGCTAAAAGATAGTTTCAATGTTTCATAAACTTAAAGATCAACACCAAGGTAATGGTCATTGAACACTTCTGGTAGTGACAATGTGGGGCTAAAAAAATTTGGTGCACTTGATGTGGCTAATGAAAATTAGAAACAGGCACCAAAAAAGGCAGATGTGTGCTTGCCGATGTACTCTCCTGACTAATCTCATCACAGGAATTGCAATGCAGACGTAGTTGCATTTTGGGAGGAGTACATTTTACATACATGGCTTGAAAAACCGGATGAATTTTGGTTCAAACCACCTCTGGAGGTCATTTTAAGATAATTATGCAATCAGCAAAAACGTTTACACTAGGGGTTGCACCGACTAATCGACTAGTCGACTTCAATGCTCTGCCATGACGCTTTAAGCTTGACATCGACTAGTTGCTGGTCCTATAGAGGGCGCAACAGGATAAGAAATCTTTGAAGGACTTCCACATTTACGCTCCGTTTCCAAACAGTTCAAATGACAAATAAATGCATATTCTGAAAGCGCCCCACAAGACATGTGATTATATTACTGGATGCTCGAAATTGAATGTGAGAATGCACGTTTTAAACAGCTTATTGCACAGGTAAGTTAATCGCCATTCTAATCTAATGTGCTGCTGCACTGTAACGCACACACATAGGCTACAGACAGTAGCTCGTACATCACGCACACAGAATCATTCAGCGCGAAAATGCATTGTCAACACTGTTCTGTGATTTCTCAATAAAATAGCTTAGAAACTGAAAAGTGCAAGCATATATTTCTTAATAACTAAATCCCACAGCTTCACTGCTAGTAGAGAGACGCTGTTCACACACGCAATCGCTCTCACTAATGCATTCATATTAATGTAATCTTTACTGTGCTACTTTATCTGTATCTGATTTAGAATGAGCAGAAATATGTGAGAAATATAACGACCCAAATACAAAATAACTGATAAAAAAAAGCTGTTATATGAGCAACAGCCATGTGGGCAGCGCTGTGTCGTATGCCATAGCTGTGCACAAGGTGTTTATCACAGCTCCAGACTTACTTGTTCATTAATGACGTCATCACATAAAAGTCGACTTCAAAAAATCAGAAGTCGTTCAACCCCTACACACTAAATAAAAAAACAAAACCATCTGTGACATTTACGGTAAAATACCAGCAGCTGTGGTTGCCAGAACTTAACCGTAAAAAATATGGTAGCAGCATTTTAGGTTTTACAGACTTAACTGAAATTCACAATAAAATACCATATTTCATTAACTGATGTAATGTTAATAAACCAACATATTGAAGTACTAATATCTGTTTTGAACCATTGTAATGCACTGATAACCACCAAAAACTGGTGGTGATGAGAAAGTCACATGATGAACCAAAGCTCATCACAAACAGCTTTTCTATGAGCTGAGGAAGACAATATAGAAGGTGCACAGTCTCATTCACACAAACACTAAACCCCATCGTGGTGACACACACTGAAATAATGCAATAAACATTAAATTAACAACATTTAAAGTAAGATTAAACCCTAGTGTACACAATTGATAAGAAAAAAACTAAGAAACATGTTATTTCAACAAAAAACATTCAAATATGAAGTGTCATGCAGGGAATTCTGGGAGTGTCAATTTACGTTTTTTCACCATAAATTATACGACTTTTTCTTTTCCACTTCCTAAAACCGTATTTTTTAACAGTATTTTACTGTAAAATCACATTAAATGTAATTACATTTATTCACCGAGTATAGTGTGGAAACTGTGTTAACCAGTTAACAGGTTTTTACTGTAGCATTTTTACAGTATTTTACTGTTAAAATCACAATATTTTTTTTACAGTGCAGTGTAATGCACCTCCTAAGTTAGCTCTTGTAGCTCATCTGGTAGCAAGGAAATATGCCAAGGTCAAGGGTTCAAATACTAGGGAAAGAACAAAACTGATCAAATGTATAAATTGAATGCACTGCAAGTCTCTATGGAAAAAAAGCACCAACCAAATGTGAAAATATGGATAGACATAGGTAGTTTTTAACTAACTGCTATGCAGCTTAACTGATTCCACCACTGCATCTCCCTGGAGGTAAAAAGGTTGAGCTGAGTGAAGGCAAGCAATGCGCAAGGCCAGCTATGAAATACTGCAGACAGAGCTCAAAGAAGGATTTTACTGATATGCAACAAGAACCACTGTACCCTATGAAAGCTAAATAAGCTAAGCTAACTGTGCAATGTTAAAAACTAGGTAAGTCTTAATATTGGCCTGAATGTTGATATTCTCAAAAAAATTTGTGAAAAGAAATACAGTGTGAAAAAGTCAATTACTCGTGCTCTCATGCTGCATTTATTGAGTAATGCAGTGTATACGAATAAAATATACTTGTGTGATTTATACAAATATAAAGTGGGTTGGATAAATACAGAATAGGATAAAAAGGATAGGGTAGAATAAATAAAAGTTACATATACTCACCTTGTAAGCAGTAGTGGAGTTTACATATTAAAGTGTATTGTGTGTGTGTGAGAGAGACTAATTTTTAAATGCCCTAATAATTCATCAGCAAGTGTCGTATCATTGCTGCATTAAAAAGTAGGCTAATAATGCAGTGAGTAAATGATACAATTGAGTATTGCAGTGAGTACATAGTGAGAAAAGGTAAAGAGAATCACTAGTGTTACTTTGCATTTAATATATAATGTTAATACATAAATAATGCACTGATAACATTGTCAATAGATATGGATTATGTTACTGTATTTAACTGTCTCCGCCAAATTGGCAAGTTTTTATGCTGTCTGTTTCTAATTTACATTCAGCATTTTCATAAACTTTATTAAAATACAAACTCACCCTCAAAGCTGATGAACCCGAAGAG